GGCATCAGGGCACAAGGGGCTGCGGATTAATGACGAAGGATGGCTAGTGCAAATGTCACTTCGACGCCTACACCATACAAGGCTGTCTCTGCAGCGCGTCTGCGGAGCGCCCCGCGCGCGCTCGCCTCGACCGACGCGCTGCGCCATGAGCGCGCGAAGCCGCGTGGCGAAGACCACGGTTAAGTAAACAAATAAGCACCTTGGAACTCGGGCGCCATATGCGCGGGCGCCCAGGATTCACATACCTGTCTAAGATTGGGGTAAGGCTTGGGGCTTAGACCTTAGACCTCAGACCCCAGGCCAAAGCGGCAGCCTTTCAACTGGGAGTTTGCAAACTGCTGGGCCGCCCGCTGGCGCGCGCAAGCGACTCACGCGCGCGCTTCACGTGGCACGGCGGGCAGGCGGGCGAGCGCCGCGCGACGCGTTGAGAGCCATGTCGGCGCGCGAAGCTCTGGGCCGCTCGGAGATGCCCGCTAAGCGCTGGGCGCCAGGCGCTAGGCGCCATGGGGCCAGGCGCTATGGGCCAACCTTAAGCCCAAGACTCCATATCGCAGAGCCTCAACCAGCATGGCTATTCCTATGCGGCGGGAATGCGCACCTCCCCGCGCGCGCACGCGGGCGGTTTGTACGCCCGCTGCGGGCTGCCGCGCTTTTTAGCCGACAGCGCAATGGCACGGGCCGCTAGCACTTCGCAGCGAGCAGCTAGCGGCGATCAGCTAGCATGCTAGCAGCTGGTCGCTGACGAACCATCAGCGATCAGCGAGCAGCCAGCAGCTAGCGAGCGAGCGTCTAGCAGCTGCCAACTATCAAATTTGAATTTACCAACTCGCACCTCGAACCTAGCTCCTAGCTGCCAGCTATCATCTCTCAATAATCCGCCCACGGGCCACGCGGCCATGCGACGCGGGCAACCCGAATTCGCCGCGGCGCGCGCCTTGTCTTTTCTCGCATTTCCACGCAGTCAGCAAGCGTCACTGTGGACTTGCTCTGCGACTTGCGACTTGCGCGCGCGTGCCGTCTGCTCTGTGCTTATGGAAGCTGGGCGCGTAGACCGTAGACGCCATCCTCGCCCGCGCGTCGCGCTCGCGCTGGCCAGGCGCGCGCTGGCACGCGCGCGAGCCGCGCGCTACACCGAACTGTTCAGATGCGTAGGAACTCGGTGCACAAAGGGCACACATACCATCGGTAACTGAGCACCTGGCAACGCTTAAGCAGGGAGGAGTTGGAACGTTGGCCGTTCGAACGTGCATTCTCGCTGCCCAGGGCGCTGCTGTGGCTTGAAGCCCGACCTTCAACGCGTAAGCCTGGAACAGTGCACCTTAGATATTTAAACGCGAGAGGCTTAAAGCTTAGACCTTAGCCGTTTAGACGCTTGGAAATGGGAGCACGGAAAACAGCAGAGCGCCCAGAAAGAAAAGGCTATGGCACGACAAACGCAACGACAGCTCCCGCGGCAATCGCGCGCCCATGCCGCCCGCCGAATGTGCCGCGGCAGGTGCAAAAGCGCGCGGCCCCGAAATGGCGAGCCCGCGCGTGCCCGCCCATCGAATCTATAACCAAATCACATCTGACCTCGGGCCCGCCGCGATTGCAGGGCGGCCGAGGACCGAGAACCCGCGCTTGGATAATGCCCGAAGCCAACGGCGCCACTCATAACTCAGGCCGCGGTCGGGGAAGTAAGCGATCGCCAACGCCATCATGCTCAACAGTGGCAGCTGAACAGCTGAACCATGAACAGACGCGCAAGCCACGCTGCGAACAACGCGCCTGGGCGCAAACACAAACCGATCGAGACGCCCAAACCATAGCCCATAGCCAGCAGCTGGCCAGCTGGCCAGCTGGCCCGTCGCAAGCGCAAATGCTCTTGCAGCCAGAGCAAGTTCGCGCCGCCAGATGGGCGGGAACTACGCGGCGCGGCCCCGCGCGCAGCCCAGCTGCTGGGAATTGGGGCGCGCGACCCATTGGGCTGCTGCGATGCTGGCGGCTGGGGCGCGCGAGCCATTTGCCGAATTGCCGCGTGGCCCACGGCCCAACATCAACGGCTCATGCAAGGCAACTTCCGCCAGGCGAATGCGTCGATGTACCAGCGCGCAAGAACGGCCAGGCGAGGCTGCATATTCAGAACATGTTTCCCACGCCGCGGATGCCTGTAAGCATGCCGCATACGGCGACGTGGCACTGCGCGGCGCATCGGCTTGTGAACCAACGCCGCGCGCGTGAAATAATGGCAGTGCAGCGCAGTATACTTGCGACTTTGCGCGAGTGCCTGCCAGCGCTGATCACAAGCCTACCATTGCCAGACCTAACAACAAACCGCGCGCAACAGCGAGCGCACGCGCGGTCTTAGGCACTGGCGGGCCCGAGGTTTTCATGGCAACATCTGCCGCGCGCCTTTCCGCGCATCTGCGTCGGGGCCGCAGCAAGGACAACGTGGGCAGCAAATGGTCGCAAGCGGTCAGCGCTGGCTACAGGCTACAAGCTACAAGAAACAAACATGAGCGCAATAAATACAAAGCGCTCGCTGAGACCCTACATTGCATTGTATGTACACGGCTGGTGGCGCTGTGGCAAGCCCTACAAAACCTACGCACCTACACCTGCAACGGAGCCCGGTCTAAGCCTACGCCCGACGCGTAAACGCGTAAACGCAACACTTAAACCCTACTACCTACTACCTACTACCTACTACCGAAAGCCTAAAACAAAACTGCCAGAATATCGAAATACGTGCACATCAAATTCAAGCCTCAAGCCAACACCCAAGGCACTTCTGCCCGCAACCACCAGCCGCTAAAAGCTAAAATCCCGCCAGCCCTTTGGGCGACAGACGGTTTAACGATGTTCCTGTTTCCCCTTCCACAACCCCTCCTTCCCCTTCGGGGACGGGTTTACCCCTCCCCATACCCCCTCCCCTGGACCTGGACGGGGGTCCCCGCGAGGGGGTGGGCCGCACAAGATACCCATAGATTGCTCCAAGAGGGCTCATGGATGGCCTCCAAGATGGCTCAAGACAGTGCAAGGTCGCTCAAGATGAGCTCCACCATGCCTCCAAAAGGCCTTAAGAGGGCCACAAGACACAAGACGGTTGAAGGTGCTCTTGCAGACCCCTCAGGACCCCCCCGAGAAGCCAAGACTCAACACCTTCAACAAACGCAAGGAAATGTTACCATGTGTGCTCCCTCGCCGTTTCTCTTCCGATGCGCTTCTCAAGCCTTAAGATGGCATAGGAAAGCCCCAAGAAGAGCCCACGAGGCCCCTATGACGACCCCAAGAGCGCCCAATAGCGCCCCAACAGAAGCCCAAGAACGCCCCAAGGGGCTATCTTGATTGCCCCAGAGGGGAACACCACGGGAAGACGCCACATCTTTTAACCGACACCCTCCACGACAGCCCCAAGAGGCCCTCCAGGGCTCCCAAAAAGCCCCTAAGAGAGCCCCAGGAGGGCATCAAGAGGGCCCCGATGCCCCCCCCATCCCCCCCCCCCAACCCCGCTCCCCCCCCCCCGCCCGCCCAACAACCCCAAGAGGGCCCAAAGACCTTCCAAAAGAGCTCAGAGAGGGCTCCAACACTCCAACATTCCAACACCCTGACCACCCTTCTCGCCTTGCCCACTTTGGCACTTTGGTTCATTATATGTGTCCCTTCTTGGCATTTCCCGTCAACTCTCATGGGCATGGCTTCTGAATATGCTGGTCGGGTTACACGAAGCGTTAAGAATTTAACGCGCGCGCGCGAAACATACAGTACGCGGCGGCCGCCCGCCGCGGACACGTTTCCGCATAATCGGGCGAGCAACGCGCACGCCGCCGACAAATTCGACGCACGAGCTGCGCAACGTATATGTGCATGGCGGGGGGGGTCAACCGCGCAGCCACCGCCAGAGGGACACAGAAGAGTGGCAATCGCAACACGCGGCTGCAGGGCAGCAGAGTGGCAGGGGCGAGACTGGCGCCGAGCCGAAAGCGCAATTCGAAAAGCGCGCGCGCGCTACCGCGACCGCGCAATTCTGAAGCCCCCCGCCCACATCAGGAGCTGGAGCGTGACATGTGCTGAGGCGCTGAGGCGAAACCACCATCAATGCGAACCCGAGGGGCAGCGGAATGACCGAAAAGCCGTTATATTGTTCCTCGTGCTCCTCGCTGTCCTCCTCCTCCGTGTCCCCCCTCCACGACAACCCCGAGTCGTCAGTCTCCTGAGGCGGGAATGGCGCGGTGGGTGGGGGCGGTGGGGGGGAGAGGGTGAGGGGGGCGGATTTGTCTGGGGAGGGCGGGCCGCCTGCCTCTTTGAGTTCCACCGTGCCCTACCCCCTTTCCTCCTACCCATCATCCTGCAACCCCCTCTTCCCCGCCCTTGCCCTCCTCCTCGCCCCTCGCAATCCCCCTCATCATCGCCCTCATCGGCACCCCATCTCCACGATCCCCGCAATCTTCCCAGCCCCTAGCCCCTAGCCCGTAGCCCCAAGCCTTCCGCGTTGCATTACCCCACGCGCTTCACCAATTATCAATCATTGCCCTGCCTCCTAGTTCCTAGCTCCTATCACCTAGCGTCATAGTTCCTAGTTCCCAATGCTACTTCGCGCATCGCCCCTCCCTCGCCCCTCTCCCCCAACCTGCTCGGGCCCTCATCGCATCCGTATCCCCTTCCCCCCCCCCCCCTCCCCCATCCTCACCATCGCATTCCGCCCCCACCATCATGATCACCGCTCATCCGCTCCTCCCGCCGCTTCCCGCAGCCTTCCCCCCTTCTACCCCGCCCCGCCCCATACCCACTACACACTACACCCCGCCCCACAGATTTCCCATCCCGTTACCACCGCGTCCAACTCATCACTGTTTCTCATGTTGTGGGAGGGCGGGTGGGACTGGGCATGCAATGCTTGACTCGCTCGAGCTGGCTTGACGGCTTGACGGATTGACCCTACCCTACCCCCCGCCCCCCGTGCATGTCCCTCCCCTCACCCAATCCGAAATCGGAAGGATGGGGGAGGTGGGCTGGTGCAATTAAAGACCGAGCTCCTCGTCGGAGCCGTGCTGTTCCCAAGATCCGTCCGAGCTTGAATCATTCACGCCCGAGCCCGCGCCGTCGGAGCCGACGTCTGACCCCTCGGCCTCGTCGCGCTCGTCGAAGTGTGCACCGACGCGCACGTCGTCTCCGCCGCCCATGCCGTCATCGGAGCCGACGTCCGAGCCCTCCAGCCACGGCTCATGCACGTAGCCGTCGCCTCCACCGCGGCCGCGGCCGCGCGCCCCAGCCCCGCGCCCCGCCTCTGGCGGCGGCGCGGGCGCGGCAGGCGCGGCAGCGGCGCGCCCGCGGCGCCCTCGCCCTCTCCCGCGGGCACCACTGCGGCCGCGCGCGCGCCCGCGGCCATCGCCGTCGCCTCCACCATGGCCGCCCCGAGGTCCAGGCCGACCCCTGCGGCGCGGCAGTGTAGGCCATACCTGTCGCTGCTCCACGGGCGGGTCAAACTCTTTGAAGAGAGGCACCGCGGGCTGGAAACGAGGGCATGAACGCCCGTGCGTGGCGAGCTCCAACAAGGACATGCGCCAGTTCAGGTTGAGCGAAAACCGCTCAGCCATCACATACAGGTTGCACCAATCAGTCACTGCCTTCCGAGAGCGCAGCGGGCATGCGGCTCGGGGCCCATGGCTTAGAAAACACCAGACATAATAACATATACGTTCCCTGCGCACTATTCTTTATCACAGTGTCGCTACCGATGGGCCCCATAAGCCAATGATGCCTCAGGATCGCCCCAAGATCGCGAGGCCTCAGAAGGGTGTGATGCGCGCAGAGAAAGCTCCAGGGGGCCCCAGGCTCCAGGTGGCACCATGAGAGCCCTAGACCCTAGACATTAGACATTAGACCCTAGAGCCAAGACGCCATGACCCAAGAGTGCAACAAGAGGCCCCAAACATGATGTTGTGCGCTATGCCACATCCGAGCGGTGATGCGCAAACTAATGGTATCCACCGTTCCAGCCTACAGCCTACAGCCTACAGGCCTACAGGCTACAACTCAGGAAATGGCCCGAAGCTCCCGCGAAGATCAAGGAGAGCCACAAATGGTGGGGGTGGCAAAAGCCCGAATCTATCAAACAGTGCACAAGCCCAAATACCCAAGATCCCAAGGCCCAAGATAGCACCACGGGCCAAGATCCAAGAGCCCAGAGGCCCCCCGAAGGCCTCACTTCACCATTGTCGGCGCTCTTGCTTGAACATGCTAGTGCTCGCGACCAGCGCCGCTCCTCCAGACCCCCAGACTGCCCTCGTGGACATCGCCAATGGAATTGATGATGGGGGCAAGCTAAGCGCCAGGGGTCCCATGTAACAAGCTGTGGTTCTGTAGCTCTGGGTCCCAACCACAAACCCCCACGCCCCAGTTCGCGCGACCCACCTCGAGTGCAATCTCATCTCCCATTCGGTTGGCGCCAATTCCTCCTCATCACTGGCCACGATCATCTCCTGCACGCGCGGCATAAATGGCGCCAAGGATTGGCTGCTGACGTGCCAATAGCGGACGTCCGTGCCGAGACCCCAGAAGTCAGCCAAAGCATAATCTGCACCGTCAGCAAGCGACGGCTCGAATCGAACCCACCTCGAGTGCAATCTCATCTCCCATTCGGTTGGCGCCAATTCCTCCTCATCACTGGCCACGATCATCTCCTGCACGCGCGGCATAAATGGCGCCAAGGATTGGCTGCTGACGTGCCAATAGCGGACGTCCGTGCCGAGACCCCAGAAGTCAGCCAAAGCATAATCTGCACCGTCAGCAAGCGACGGCTCGAATCGAAGGACGATGTGACCGTCTTTGAGCAGCTTCCTGCTGTTGCACCCGCTCCTCGGGCACATGGCCTTCATGGCGAGCAGCACGGAGTTCCGAAAACGTCTAAGATGCGCCCCAGCCTCCGAGCATATGCAGACGCCCAGGCCCAAGCAGCGACCATGGCGATGCTCCTCCTCCTCGTCGCTCGACTTGGCTGCATCCTCGGCATCGCCGCGCATCTTCCTGCGAAGGAAGTTCCAATGATTACTCAAGGATGACATGAAATTCATCTGATGGCTCTTCATATTCTTCGCGTGCTGAACCAAGTCCGTGGCGTCTGCCGCAGCCGACCTACTTCCGACTTCCATCACCCTCATGCCGTGGATGGGGCCAGGGACCACTCTCATTCCTGAAACAAGGGGGGCAGTCTCGGGCATCTGACTGGCGAGCTCGCCCCGCCGAGCTTCGGCCGCATCTGCCTCGAAGGCGGCAATGTCCCTGGAGTCCTTCGCTTCCTCATCGCGTCGCCTTGCATTACGACTATTGCGCAATCTATTGGTCAGCCGCATCGTCTCGGCGATATCGTAGGAATACGTCTGCGCGTCGCCAATCAACTTGTCGACTGCACTACCAGGATCGTCCGTCGACAGCCTGGCCACCAAGTACCGTTGCTCTTGCAAGCGATCGACCTTGCTGCGCTTGATGCCGAACGTTGGTTCCCCCCTTCGCCGCCTCTCTGTGGCCGCCTTGCCCTCCGCGGTACACTGCTCCAGCACCTCAGAACCGACGGTGTCCTTGAGGGCCTGATACAGGCGACCAACCTCTGCCAGATCATTCGACCTCTGCTTCCTCACGAAAGCACGCCATGCGCCGCCACCACCATAACTTGGACCGCCAGGGTTGTGCTCGTCGGTGCCCTCGGTGCCTGTCCCAGAATCCACAGAAACTGGTGACGCCGTCCTCCAGCCGCGAACGCAAGAAGCAAGCCATTTGGTACCGAGCCCAATTGGATCAGGCTGCTGGCATTGCACATGCTTTTTCACAATCCTGCGAATCTGTGCGTTCGAGACCTCGAGGTGATCAGTGTTCGTTGAAATGAGGATGGCGTGCACCAAGAGCTTCATGTTGGCCTCGTCTGTGCGGAGGTCGTTTCTTTCCAAGAATTTCCTACTCCATCTGTCCAATTGACATTTCGGCGTCTGCTGGATTGCGTCTGCGAGCTCGGGATGGGCAAGCACGAGAAACAAAGTCCACGGTGGTTGGGAATGCGGGCCCGCGATCAAGTCCTCGATGTATGCCCCTGCCGACGATAAGCTTGTAAATGCGTCTGCTTTCAAATCGTTTGTCATATCTTCATCTCGCAACAGTATCCAAATGCGATGCTCGAAAAGAAGGGTCCGCATTCTCCTCAATGCTCGGGCTTCGATCCCGCCTTCCGCGTGCGCCAACACTGCGTATGTGCGAAGCAGTTTGCCCGTATTGGGTTGCCTTGCCAGCCGCGCAGCTTGCGCCTCCTGGAGCCGCTCCCACTTCTTGGACCCGATGTAGAGCTCCTCCACCTGCATTGTCTGCAAGATCGACAATCTCATCTTGAGCACCACGATCTGGGCACATGGCGAATTTCTGGACCTGCCTGTCAGCCAATCCAACGCTACTCTGCGCTTCCTCGCGACCTCGGCCGCTGCTGCGGCAATGGGGGCCAGCCCCTTCGGGTCGATGACTGCATCGTCTCGCCGGGCCTCCATCGCCTCCTCGCCGGGGAGGGCTCCAGCGTCGAGCAAGGCGCCGAGCGCGGCAGCCGCTGGAGCATCGCCACCTGGATGGTGCGCAGCAGGTCGATAAGGCAGGCCATTGAGGCGATCGCAGAAAACCTTGAACGCCTCAATCAGCACGTTCCCTAACAGAAGGGGCAACGCGAACTCGGAGCACGCCTCGTCTGCGCCCATCCATTTCCTCCGCTGGTACAACGTGAAATTTCTGAATACGAGGGCCTTCGCAATGCCACTCGAAACTGTACTGAACAACGACTGCTCGTCATAATCAGTGCCAGGTGGAACGTAGATCTTCAATCTATTGCTGTTCCAATCCCCCGACGCGAACAAGTCAAGCAGACCCCGCACAATTATTTCAGTGCCAGGTTTCTTAGGTACGAACCACGACAAAATCAATCTTTTCCTCAGCACTGCCCCTGGGCTGGGAGGCGTGTCGATTACCTTGCAACGGTGCATCAGGATTTCGTACATGCATTGTCTGAATGTCGCTAAATTCTTCTGGTGGCCCAGCGACAACGCCAAGTTGATCATGCCCGTGATGGCATGGGAGAACTCCCACGTTTCCAATACCCGCGCACTCTGCAACATGTGCTGTTCACATTTGAAAAGGAGAGACTTCCAACTACCAAAACGTCTCTGTGTTCTCCGATTGATGCGGCGCTCGACGCACAGATTGCTCGGGTGTCGATCCACGGCGGCGACGCGGCTAAACTCAGCAAACTTGCATTCGGTGAGCGACATGGCGCACGTATCTCTCAGGGCAGCCATGATGCTGCCTGGGGTGTTCCGCCATAGGGGCTGGATCTGGGCCATTGTCCGACCAATGACTATGGTGTAAGATTGCACAGCGTCCGGAGGGCCACGCGCGAACAACATGCCGAATCTCTGCTGCGTCTGGAACACCTTGGTGGGAATCGCCTTTCTGTTTACTGGTAACATGTCCAATACCTTTTTCGGCAGAGGCCTACCATCAGACTTAACGCCTCTGTCGGTGGTCGGTGAGGCATTCTTGAGTTTTAACGGAGTTTCGTCATACCCAATACTGTCCACGAACTGCAGGGCTCTGATTGATGTGTTGGCTACAGCTGCCTGTCCGATCAAGCGGCGGCGGAACCGATCCAGATGCCAAGTCACAGCGCACAGCGTCTTGCTCGTATAATCGAGAAAACGTCTATCCACGTTGAGCGCGTGCGACTTGGCCCTCGAAGTTACAAATGCGAAGCCAAAGTCCAGCTTATCGAAAATATTATCAGAGACAGCGCGAACGTTTTCATCAATATCCACTCCCCAATTGCCCCGCTGTCTGCAACGTGCAAGGAAGCCCCCGACGTGGTCGATGAACGGCGGCGCCAAAAGGAACGAGCTTCCCGAGAAGCTCTGGGCGATCACGAGGGGTGGCACCTGACACTGCTCTCGAAACACCTGCTGAACAATCTCTCTGCGCTGGCGCTTGTTCTCCGCCGCGGCCGCCCTCGCGACGACGAGATCGCCGCCGCGCCTGTCGCCCAACCTGGGTACAATATTCACGCGCGCGGGGGCGACGAGGCTTCGAAGCCGCAACGAACCAAAACGGCGAGGACCCCAACCAAAGTGCAACTGGCCCCTCGCCACCCCCTTGGACGAACTGTTCTCGCGCCTATGTGGTTTTTCTCTCTTCCACCACCCACCATTCCCATTCGGGGGTGGTTTCATCGCCCCCCGAACCCCCCGCCCATGCGGTCTGGGCGGGGCCTGATACGGTAATTGGAACCCCCAAGATGCCCCAAGGTGGCCCCGCGATCACCCTCACCAAGGAGCAGTGGGATGCCTTCCAAGATTGCTCAACACTCAGGGCAGACGAGGGCGGGCCAAGACATCTCCCGAAATAGCCCCGAGAGGGGCCAACAGGATAGCGTGCAAGATGGCCCCAAGAGCTTCTTCCAGGCAGTCCATCCTGGGCATCGTTTCTGGACGGGCTGGCACGCGAAGCGTTTCGGATGAATCATGCAAGATTGGAGGGGTGGGTATACAATCCAGGAACATGGGGAACAGGTAGGCACGCAATCCAATCCGATTCAAGCACGCTGGGAAGACTCTTGACAGCGGCTTCAACATGCGGGGGCATGGGGTGGATGGGCACCCAACGCAACGCAATCCAACCCAACGAACTCATATCACGAGCGCGATGTAAGGATGCAAGGCCCTGGGCCAACAAATCCGCAACGGACATCCCAGAACTATGGATTGGCCATGGACGGGCCCACATGGCAGGATGCACGGGCCTTGCGATGGCCAGGGGCGGGCCGAAACAGGCAATGATGAAAGGTTGCCAATGGTCTTGTTTTGGGAGCGGCCGATCGCCTAGAACGGCCCCTCGGGCTCGCTGTCTGAGTCTGCGCTCTTCTGGCGCTCGCACGCAAGGATTGCTTGACCGTGGGCCGACTGCTTTGCTCCGGACTTGCCCCGAACTCGTGATATTTTATCTGGAGTGTAATTCATATGCTGATCTCGCGAGAGCCTCGGCCCAGCCTTCAACCACGCAATCATCTCACCGATGCAACGGCCCTGACCAGGAATTAGAAAGGAGTCGCTTAACTTTTGGCGACGTCGCTGTCCTCGAGCGGCGGCACAGGCCTCCAAGAAAGAAACACGTTGCTTCAAAGCGACCACCACGACTTGCATAGTAAGTGATCTTGCCAGGCGCATTTGATGGCCCAACGTCGACGT